TTTCTGTAGATATGGACCTTAATGGGCACTAATCTTTATTACAAGGAAACGGTAGACTAATGCCATTTTACATTTCTTCACTTGACTGCGTCTTTTTATCTTACGTCGAAATTGACGTAACGTTCGCAAAGAGTAACATGCAGTTCTTCAGCGTTTTCTTTTGTCTTTCTTATCTTTAGGTATTGTCGATTCTTGAAAGTATCCCAGGTGTCGTGTCAATTGAAGTGACCAGCGTCAGATGCTCGTAAGTACGACTTTTTACATATATATATATATATATATACAGTGCTCACCAACTATTTGCATCACTGACATTGGCATAAACCTGGTATCTGCATAAAATTCTGAAAACCCAAACCATTTCCCATTCACTACATTATAAATTGCATGGCATAATTGCATGAGCTGTTATGACTTTAACCTGATATTGGACTAAAATATTTCCAAGTCAATGGCACACTGACCCAGAAGTACGTGAAAGAAATACATGTAATTGTTGCGCATCAGCAAATCTGCATGAAGTCCATTGTTATTCATTCATTATCACCCCTGCACCCTCCATTGTCATACACTTTCTCTGTTGTCACTTCCTTCTGGACAGGTGAGAACCCCCAATCACTCAATGATGATTGTGTGAAGAAGTCCTTTGTTCCTTTTTGGTGTCCTTGATTGGGCTGTTGTTTTAGGTTTGGTAAGCTTTTGCCCAACACAGGGGTTGACAGTATGAAGGTGGAATGTGTCTGATCTTCTATCTCCATGTTAGCCCTGTTCATTATGAGTTTCTAAATGTGACTTGAATTGAAGATCAGAATATGGTACATGTATGTACTTGTGGGTGAAAGTGAGTATATAGATACCAATAACATCATGTTTGTGGTTGTTTCAATTGGCCCCAGCCCAGTATCATCCATAACCAACTGACCTCCCCTCCCTGTCGGTCGTGTGGACTCTCCTAAGGTTATTGGACTAAACCTGTTATAGGAATAAAATTCCCTGACAAATCGTCCATGCAAATAACAGGAGAGCACTGTATATATATATATATATTTTAAATTTTACTCTAAAACTTCCATAACTTCTTTTTACATCGACAATAACTTTGAATATGCTGTTTGTTTTCCCCAGTGGACTTTACATCAGAGTCACCATCACTGTAGTGGTCGTGTCGTCGTCCTCCAGTACACTAGTGACAACAATTTCTACAGCTGTATCATCAGGAAATGTGGGAGGCTTGACTGTTGATCCAACTTCATTCTCTTCTGGTGATGATGGTGAGTAAATGGAGACTTTGGTTTCGGCATGGCTTTTGTCTGATCTGTCCTGTGAATTCTGAATTGGTTTTAATGTACTTATATAAATGTGTTTTCAGCCTAGAAGCAACAGATTCTATGAGAGGTAATCTTCAGACCCACTGATTTTCATTTATTTTGCATTAGTATTTACAAAATGATCTTGAGTATATATGTCTCATTTACCTAGATATATTTTCCATTCACAGCTCTGTCGTGTCGAACTCCCCTAGACGTCATTTTGTTACTAGATGGTTCAGGAAGTGTAGGGGCCAACAACTTTGAAAAGGTCAAAGAATTTTCGAAAAAGATTGCCGAGACCTTTGTCATCGGCCCCTCATCAACACAGGTAGGAGTTATCCAATACAGCACGCGAGTAAGACAAGAATTCTCTATGAACAGCTTCCAAACGAAAGAAAGTTTGTCCAGCGCAATCGACGATATTACATACATGCGAGGCGGTACCCTGACGGGAATGCCATCAGGTACGTGAGGAGGTATGGCTTTGCAAGATCAGATGGAGCTCGTCCCGGAGTAGCGAAAGTGCTCATTGTCGTCACAGATGGCCTTTCGTATGACGCAGTGGCAACNCCTGCCTACAAGCAAG